CTGCGAATTATTTTAAATACTAGTATGTGTGTTTAGCTATTCGAAGGGGTATGATATACAAATTATAAAAGCGGATTGCGGGCTTAACTTGTGGAGAGTAAAATTTCATAAGAAGTAAACAATTTTTAAAATTTGTGACTGAAACAAATTAAACTATTTTATGATAAAAATATTCGTTAATTTCTTTGCACACCTTTATGTCCTGGGACCCGGGATGTATATGTAGGTGAATGGTTTTTGGCTGGGATAATCTTCCAATTGCCTTTTTAAAATTTATAACGATTTCATAGCCAATGTGTGTAAATGTTTATCCTGTCACTTGGAACAGAGTCTGGCCAAATTTGAAGTTTTCATACATATTTAATTCAAATAAAAATATAGTTTTTCACTAAAATTGCTTTCGTGGGACTGGCTATTAAAGTTAAAGGTTGACATTTTTATTGCAATTTATATAGAAAAAATACTTTTTCTAACTTTTAAATTTCTTCGTATGAACATGGCCACTTTTTAGTCTCAGACGTTATGTAACTTTTTAAACATTCATTTATTGTCAACGCACATTTAGTTTTCATTTATTTATAAATTTGAATCACATGTTAATTTTTTTTTAAATCTTTTTCAGAAATTAATGATTTTAAATTATCTCAGCCAAATTCTAGTTTTAAATTATTATTTTTTAAGTTTATATTTTTATTTTTTTCCTTCGAAAAAATTTTAATTTTTGAATGTCTATAAAGAGATTTATAAAGTCATTAAAAATCATTAAAAATAGAAAACCAATTTAGTATTTCTTATGCAATATTTCTAATTTTAATATCAGTGATATAGCTAAATTTATTTAGGTGCGAATATATTGAGATTTTGATTTTAGTTTGATTAAAAACTAAATTTGTTTAGCTTTAAATTGCATACTTTATAAAGGTTTTTTATGTTTTATATTTCACTTTATATAAAAAAAATAATGTTTTAGTATATCTCGAAATCTAATTTTGTTTAAACATTTTAATTTTTCGTTTTGTTACCATAGCGTTACTTGAAACAAGTTAATTTTATTTTGAAAACTACTTGTTAGTTATTATTTAATGGTCTTTATTTAATTTAAATTTAGTAATCAAATTAATAACTACATCTGTAAAATTTAAGCAATTAAATTTCATTTAAATTTTTATTTTTAGCAAATATTTAATTTTTATTTTGAATTTATTTTGAATTTGAATTCGACATTATACATACGTATGATTTTTCAATTAAAGACATTTGTAGAAAGTTTGTGTTATTATATGAATTTTAAATATTTCAGTTTTAAATATTTTATATATTTTTTTATTCCTTTTGAACAGTGATAATTCAAGATTTAGTAATTAAATTTCTGTGGTTTCAAAAAAAGTTTTTATTAAAATTTTTACACGGTCTTTTTTTAATTATTAAATTTTTCATTACGAAATTTAGTTTTAAGTTTTTAAATTCAGTTCGAGTTCAAAATTCTTGCTTTTATTAAAAAAAGGACTGTAGTTTTAGGAATTTAAATTAAATAAACGTATCTGCATTTCATCAATATTTAAGTTCATTATTTTTTTATTAAATATTTTTGAAATGTTAAATTAGTATTTCAATAAAATTCTGATACTTATTTCACTTTAAAATCTTTATTAAAAAACTGTTGTTTTAAGACTTTAAATTAAATAAACGTATCTGCATTTCTTCAATTTTTAAGTTCGTTGATTTTTTATTATTAAATATTTTTGAATTGCTGAATTTTTATTTCAATAAAATTCGTATATCTATAGTTTTCGGCTGATATATTTTACGTTTTTAACTTGATTAAATTTAAATTTTAATTTTAATTTTTCCGTAGTTGAACTCGAACAAATATATTTTTGAGTTTTCTTACGGTGAAAAAATAAGTTTTCATTTTACCACTACCACTTAAGTAGCACGTAAAATGTCGATTTGAAAAATAAATCGACGAATAAATAAACTATATTTGCACCAAAGCTTGCTAATATTCTAAAAAAGGCTTTGATTTTAAAATTGTATTCTGTATTTTTCAATTTAACTGCAGCTAATTTATTTACAAAGTTTTATTTGCACCTCTAAATTTGTAAAAATGCTAAACTTTAACACGAGGCTCTAGCAAAGTCGATGCAGAAAGAAGTAAAAAAGGTCGAAGTTAAAAAATTACTTTCAGGGTAGTTCGTTTATCCTGCAGCTCCTTTCACAAAAAAATAGCTAAGTACAATTTTCGTAATAACTTCTAACACCCATTTTGCGTAGTGTTTTATATAATTTTTTTTTACAAAAATAAATTTTTTCGACTAAAATTAAACAAATAATTTTTGCTCACCATTTCTACCTTGCAATCGATTCCGAATTTAATACATTCTGTCACCAGCTGCGCGCTACTCCACACACACAGCGAGACACACGCTTTGACGAGACACAGTTAAATTCCAAATCGCAATTTGAGTTCCAAATCGAAAAGTTCTCTTTGCTTGCGGGACAGCGCTAATGCGCTTTGCACAAATTTTCTTAACCGAACAAACGCTGTTTCAGACTTGTTTGCACTTTGCTGTTAAATGAACAAATTCTTTTTCTTCTCCAATTGTATTATTTTCTAACGCTGAAGAATTGATTCGAGTTTGCGCATGCGCAAATAGAAACTTTCACTGCAATAATATCAAGATTGAACAGAAAAATGAGAATTAAAGTTTTTTGAACACAAAACGCTTGATTGAACACAAGAAATTTTTTTGCAATTTAGTAATTTGCTATGCACGGAGTTTGGAGTACAGACAAATCCTCCGACTTGCGATTGCAAATTTTTCTATGAACACAATTTACTTTAGCTTTGCTTTGAAATTGCGCGATTTTACGGTCAACTACGCTGAGTTATTTAAGAATTTATTTACTATATTTTCACTTTGCAAAAATGTATTTTATTTTCTAACACCACAGCTCAAAGGCTTGCTTGAGCTACTACTCTTTTACATATATATATGTATTAGATGTATGTATGCATGTATATATGCACTTAAGTGAATTGGCAGTTGAGTATGTATATATATGTATATATGCACTGTAGTGAAGTGTATATGACACGCAAACGCAAACGTCCGTTCAAAGCAAAGAGAGAGATCCGCACCGTACGCGCGCTGTTGGTGAACTGAATTTACAAAGCTCCAAGTTGGCACCTCGACGCACCGAAAGCTAAGCGCACAGCAAAATCAGCCAAGCGAGCAGCGAACTTGGCCAACTTAAGGTATTGGCCCAATGCACGCTTGCTTTGCTTGCTTTGCTTACTTTAGTTTGCTTTGCTTTACTTTGAAGGCTTTTATGGCCTAATGGTAGCTTTGAACGCTGTCATAGTAGTCAGCTGATTTTCAATGCGCGCAAATATACCCGCCATTCTTTGTTGTGCCAGCAAGTATAATTGTGAATTTTAGTTAAAATATATGTTATTAAACAATTATTTGTTACTAAGAACATTATTTTTTACAGATACCTTGCTTTTCTATCGTTCCGGTTTTGGTGAAGCTGCATTTGGCTGCGCCACTCACCACCCGTGTTTATAAGACGTAATATTCAATTGGAGGTAAAAGAGTTTATATTAAACAATTATTTGTTGCTAACAACATTATTTTTTTCAGATACCTTGCTTTTTATCGTTCCGGCCACCAGATTCGTTGGTTTTCATAAAGTTTCATTTGGCAGTACAAAATGTTGACTCGAAATGCTGAACAAGTTTTGAGAATTTTCCTAATTTTAGCGAAAATGCGTAAATTAAAACTGCGATTAAAACAGAAGCGCCGATTTTGGGTTCGGAAATTGTACTTAGAGCGACACAAATATGGATTGTTTGAAAGTTCATTAAGAAACTTGGCTGCAGATGAGGAGCAGTTTAACAAGACATTAAGAATGCCCTTTTCGTTATTTAATGTGCTGCATGAATTTCTGGAGGCTTCGCTGACCAAATATTCAATCAGAACACCAATATCGAGTCGCTGCAGACTATTTATAACCCTGATGTAAGAGAAAATCGGTTTTACTTAATAGTATACGTATAATTTTCCATATATGTATCTGGTTTTATTTTTTTGTTGCAGATATTTGGCTCACGGTGGCACTCGGCAATTCCACACAATAGTTCACAGGATCGGCCTGACGACTTTCAGGAAGATTACGTTGGAGACATGTATGACCATATGGGATCTGTTAGCTGACCTGTATGTGGCGACCCCGTCAGAAACGGAATGGGGACGTATTTCCAATGAGTTCAAGTCGCTGTGGAATATGCCCAACTGCGTTGGTTCCATCGACGGAAAGCACATTAATATTACCTGTCCAGCGAATTCAGTGTCGATGTACTATAATTACAAAGGCAATTACAGTATCGTGCTTTTGGCCGTATGTGATGCCAATTATACCTTTACCTGCGTTGACATCGGAGCATATGGAAGTCAAAGCGATGGCGGTGTCTACCACTTTTCAAAACTGGCAGATGCTATTGAAAATGATAGGCTCGGCCTTCCACATGATCAGCCTCTGCCAGGAGAAACCGAGCCATTTCCACATTATTTAGTAGGAGATGCTGCTTTTCCCTTACGGCGTTATTTAATGCGACCATATCCGGGTAGAGGTATTCCAGAAGAGCAAGAGTATTTCAATAAAAGACTCTCTCGTGCAAGAAGAGTTATAGAAAACGCATTTGGAATACTCACTGCCAAATGGAGAATATTGAGAACGACGCTATGCATGGCCCCGAAAAATGCAGAACAAATAGTGAAAGCTTGTATTGTCTTGCATAATTTTATTAAGCTTCCGTGTGCAAACTAAGTAGCAAGCGATTTTGTTGATCGCTACGAAGAGGATGCCACCATCGCTGGCTCATGGCGAAACGAAGTAGTTCCATTGCCCTCAATAAGTAGGGTGTCATCGAACCGAGGCAGTTCAAATAATTATGATTTAAGGGATGCTCTGAAGACACGTCTTTTTAACAATAAAATTTAAATAATTACTACTCACTGAATATGCTTTGTTTTTATTATTTAAGATAGAAAACAAAAATTTGAACTCACAGTATGAGGGCACTTATTGGTAATGTTTTAAATGTCGTCACATCTTTCAGGTTTTTAAATTAATTTTTGTTCAAGGTAAGTATGGCGTTAACATAACATATATTTCATTCAGTCTTTTAAGTTAAAACCGTTTTACACAGTATAGTGGTTACAAACAATATACCTTTCAGTCAAACCTTTGAAATCAAACTGGATGTCATTTAAATTTTTAAATTTCGTAAATTCAATTTTTATAATTTTTATATTGAGCATAGACGTATTGAAGTACGTCCATTTGAAAATCTAGGCGGCTCTCTTCTGGGACCTTCTCAAACACTTCGCCAATCGCACCCAAGAAATTGTTGTGTGTGTTTTTTTTTTTTGACTATCCACAAACTGACTTACTTCGTTGACTAGATCGTTAAAGGCGGCGTTCTCATCGTTTTTTTTCTTTTGTCTCTTAGCCGGCGTTGGGGCAGTGGTTTCTTGCTCTTCTATTATAATGTTCCCACTCTCGCCTATTTGGAATCCAAAGGAAGTATCCAGTATATCTGGTTCTTGTCCGAGAACTTCTGGCGTTTGGGAGACGATGTTTGTTGTTGTTCTTAAAATATGTACATATAAATTACAATTTAAAATATAAATACTTGTTGTACAAATGTAAAGTACTTACTGTCTGGGCGTGACCGTGTCTTTCAAAAACAACATAGCATCGAAATAAGGCCAAGTTCGTCTCTGAAGTATCTGAAAAAAAATAATGTTGTTAGCAACAAATAATTGTTTAATATAAACTCTTTTACCTCCAGTTGAATATTACGCCTTATAAACACGGGTGGAAGTGGCACAGCCAAATGCAACTTTATGAAAACCAACGAATCTGGTGGCCGGAACGATAAAAAGCAAGGTATCTGAAAAAATAATTTTGTTAGCAACAAATAATTGTTTAATATAAACTCTTTTACCTCCAGTTGAATATTACGCCTTATAAACACGGGTGGAAGTGGCACAGGCAAATGAAACTTTATGAAAACCAACGAATCTGGTGGCCGGAACGATAAAAAGCAAGGTATCTGAAAAAATAATGTTGTTAGCAACAAATAATTGTTTAATATAAATTATTTTACCTAAAATTGATGAAGAACGCGATAAAAACTGCACACAAGCAAAATCGACGCGAAAAATTGAAATGTCAAGAGTTGTCAAAAGCCTACAGCGCGCTGTCAAATAGAGATTTCGGCTAATCGATACTTTAAAGCGCTTCAAGCAAGTGAAGTAAAGCTGCCACTAGGCCAACTTTCATACATTTTAGTAGATTTTAAAAATTGTTTGACAGTTCTCAAAGCCAAGCAAGCAAAGCAAGCGTGCATTGGGCCAATACCTTTAGTCTCAAGTTAGTCAGTGCTGCGCGCAAGTTCGCTTGGGCCGCAGCGGTTAAAAAGAGCGCGGCGAGATTGGCGAGCGACTTAGACACTTGGTATCACAGTGCTAGCAATACAAAAGCGAGTATTTGCAGATATGTTTGTACCCTGCAGCAAATCAAACTGGTTCAGAACTTGCGCTGAGCTAGCCTGAAAAGGGACGGTACTGGTTCTTCATCTATCCCAACTCAATGCTTGCAACTGTCTTTTTTAACATGGCGATGTCCTACGAAGTGACAATTGTCGCCCTCTGCAGAACTTTTGAACTTGTTCTGAGCTGACTCTGGCTTAGATGGTTCTGATACAGTTCATATAACAACAGTTCTTGGATAGTTCAAAAAGGGTCACCTCCGGGCTAGAAAAAATGTGGTTAGTTTTGAGCTGGTTCTAATAAGTATAGTATAGAGCCTTTTCTGTAAATGAGCACGCATACAATTTTGTAAATAAAAATACTTCATTATATGTTTCAAGAGCTATTTGTTTTGAACTAATTTACTTTTTGACGCAAACTGTGCTTTAAATTTAGCAACATAAAGTGTCAATTATTCCTTTACTTTCTAAAACCGTTATTCTTAAAAATAATTGATATTTTTTACGTATAATGGGTATTTCTGGGATCCCTATAATTAAAAATCTGAACTAAGTCGTGTCAAAAAATGAGAAAAACGGTGATATATTGAGTGATTATTTGTGATAACTCAGCGTTAAATTGCATTAAATTTATTGAAATGTAATACATAGACTTTCCGGCATCTCATAAGAAATATAGAATTTTGAATATTCACAATAGTTTTCATGCTAAATATTTTTCGTAAATTTTTTATTTAAGGATGGCTCATATGTATTATAACATAAACAAATAAATTCACGTTTCTAACTGTGTTGGAAATTTAGTAGAATTCTAGAAACTGTTATAACAACTTCAATATTTTAAATCAGAGTTTATAAGTATGCAGTTCTATAGCCCATTAAATTTTAGTATAATTAATCGCGCTGATTTTTTATAACTCTTTTTACGCACGCTCTTGAAGGCATTCTCCAATTTAAATATTTTCGTTTAAGATGCAAGATTACACTTTACTACAGTAAACTTTTATGGGCTACAAAACAGAATACTCGAAATATTTATAAAAAATATCTGATTAAAAATTTGAAATTTTGAAGTTTGCAGCACAGTTAGGAATTCGAATTTAAATGGCTTATGGAGTATGAGACATAGTACTTAAATAAAAACTAAACGAAAAATATTTAAAATGAAGAACATTGGAAATTAAAAAAAAAATCAATGCATAACTACACATTTCGGGGGCTTAGTGATACATTTACGTATGTACATTATCGTTCATATCTATAGCACTCCCATTTCAAAGTGAGATTGTTTACCACTTTTGCTAATTTTTTTATATCTGATTAAAAGGTCAAATATTTTGACGAAAAATCGTTAAATTTAACTTTGTTTTGTATAAAGTTTTAAAACACGGTTTATATGATTTTATTCGTATTTTGTACGTACGTAGATATGTATAAAAATGACATTAATGTACCAATAACAACTTTTTTGGAAATATTTGAGCAGTTGCCCCATAAACTATGTAGAGAATTACAAATTAAATAAACGAAAACAGTTTGTTATTAATTTTAGGGTCTAAGAAAATCAAAAAAATATAGTATATTACATTTGTGCATCTTTTGTCAGCTTTCACATGACCAGGATGAGTAACATTGATATATTATATTATTGACATATGAGTTTCAACCGTCCAACTCTGCACCCCTTTTTCAGTAGTTCAGAGACAGTTCTGAAATTTGTAGGGCGGAACTAGCGCTTTGTGTGTGTGTGTGTGTGTGTATCTATTTGCGTAATAGTGTGTGGGTGTGTATTTCAGTGTTGCCAGAATGTTTTGGGCCGACCGGCTAGATTGGCAAAAAAAAGCGGCTAAAAACGGCTAAAATGGTTTAGTGAAATTTCACATAGACTCTGGCAAAAAACGGCTAAAATGTTTTAGTGAAAATTCACATGCTTTATTTAAATAAATCGCAAGAAACCAATGACCAGTTAACACCATTAATTTATATCGAGTGTATATTCCTCATCATCAAATTAATCACTATTGTATATATCACCTGAATTCATTAATTTTAAGAGATCGTCATCTACAGTAAAATTATGGCAGCATTTTTCTTCACGTTTTAAACCGTATCTTATATACAAAATCGCGTTTAACGTTTTAACGCACATTGGATTTCTTTGCTTAGTTTTTATTATATTCATTGAACTAAATATTCGCTCTACTTCTGCATTACTTATAGGCAAAACAATAAAACTAAAAACTAGGTTGGAAAGGTCGGCAAAAGGGTTTTCTCCTAGGGCATTTCGAAATTGATAAACTTCGGCCCAAAATTTGACAGTTGAGTCTAAATTACTCCAGGTATGTAACGTTAACCGTTG